GTATGTGTGTGTGTGTGCATATATATGGCTGTGTGTGTTCTTAAAATATCATACGGTCCCTTCTCTATTATTCACATCTCAGCAAAGAAAAAGTATCATAATTTTATAATTGTTACAGCTTTAGATATATATATATGCTGAAAGTTTCAAAATAATTACATACATGTGTATGAAATTGATTTTAGCAATTAAAAACATGGGAATTAAGTTTAAGAAGGGTTCATGTAGTTTGAGTGTCTTTTTATGAAGAAAGAACACTTTACAACATAACAACTTAAGGTCTTTGCAGTTTCAGTTGTCTCTTAAATTTTAACTTTATATAATTGTGTGGATAGTTTCTAACCTAAGCAGTGTTTGTCAACCTTTTGTAGCTAGCACCCACTTTTTGCCACATTTTAGAGGCTAACATTTTTGTGCCGCCCATCTGCATGATGTGTTTCAAAGTGGGGCATTGAATAACATCTGTTACTACCCAGGTAACCCCTACTGCCCGCCAAACTGACAAAATTTCTCACAGTGGGTGATGTCACCCAGGTTGGCAAACATTGTGAACCCAGGCAGTGCTTGGTGCGTTGGTATGGTTGATTAAGCACAAAGGGACCACATCACAGAGCATTTAGAGCAGTGCGATATGGTTGTGCTCTAGAATTAATTAACAGCAAATGTAGGGAGAAGGGAGTGACACACACAATTTGCTGGAGGCTAAAGGTTTTATTTACCTTTGAGACTGCAGCAGGGTCAGTGTAGTTTAGAAGAGGTTCAGTGGGTCGTTGTGACGATGGTACATTTATTTACCTGACCAATGGTTAAAATAAAAACGATACAGATGATACGTGGAGTGAAAGCAGATGTGATTCAAGTGATTCTCAGTCTGAGTGTAAGAATGTTGTACTTGTGTGAAATATGAGTAGAGTAAAGCAGGTAGGTTTTATGTATACTTTTGAAGATGGGTGTAAGAATATTATACTTGTGGGAAATAACAGTAGAATGAAGCTGGTAGGTATTTATATATATTTATTTGAAGATATGGCAGGTTCAATGTAGTTTAGTCCTTGTAAGATGCAATTGGTCATTTTGAATACAATGCATTTACCTGGTCAATAGTAAAAATTAAGAAAAAGGTAGAAAGAAGGACTGAGAAATGATTTATACCTTGTAGATGGTACGCTGAAGCAAATGTGACACAAGTAATTCTCAGTCTGAGTGTTAAAGATATTATACTTGTGTGAAATTTTACCATTGACAGGGTCTTTTTCTCTGTGGGTGAATTGTGGGCCAATTGCTTTCTTCTGTCCCAGCTGTTCAGCTGAAGTTGTAAGTTTACTCTGACTGACTTTCATTTTTCAGTCGTCCTAAAGGAGAGTACAGTTGTTTAATAGCTGTAACTTTTAAGAACCAAACTTTGGTGGTGTCCGGTTTTCCATATTTTTACCTGTCAGGCTGTTTTTTCCTACTCCCAAAGAAATTCTTTTACAAATGTATATATTCCAATGCGTGTTATTATTGTACAATTAATTGTACTGTGGGTCTCAGAATTTATAACCAAACTTTTTATTTTACCCTAGGATAAAAATAGCTGTATACCAATTTGTTTGAAGGACCAACTTTGCTTTATTGTTGCATATTTAAATTTAATTGAGTAAATTTGAAATACATTTATGGCAGTAATGACTTATTCATTCTTCTGATTTTAAAAATCTTTTGTTAAAGTTGATATGTTCATACATAATAATGGAGTAATTTATTTTTACCTATTTTTTTGTTTATTTTTCAGAATGAATGGTATCTCCAAGCCTAAGCCATTGGTCGGGCGCAGACTTTCGTCCAGATAATAAGCTCACCACCATGGCATTGCGAAATATGTCTCCTTCTCAAGCTCCCCCATAGCTCAGGAATGCTCAAGGAGTGTGAAGCTGTTCGTGTTCGAAAAATCAAACACTCTGAAGCCTTTAATAGGCCTAGTCTTGTTTCTACAGTAAAGTCTGTTATTTTCGTCTGTATACCGGTAGTGAAGAAAACTAGACCACTGCAAAAATGAATGGTCTGGTTAGTGTGGAGGAGGGTTCCTCAGACTTAAGCTCTTCTGCTCCAAACGTTTCACAGATGATAAATGAAACAAGTGATAAGGATCTCAAGGGCATACTTCTCAAAGGCATCGGTGAGGATCAAACAACAAATAATACAAATGCTTCTGAGTCACTGAAAAGCCATGATGAAGAAAATGGTCTTGAAGAAAATTTGGGAGATAAATCCTCAGAAAAAAGAGTTGCTGAAGCCGATGTGCAAAATTCAGTGGAACCAACAGAAACAGATGATCAGAAAAAGGAAGATGATTCAAAAGCAGTTACTTTTGCAGAAGACGTTGAAGTTTTTGACTTGAGTAAAGCATCAACTGCATTGAATGTGCCGAGCAGCAAAACTGAACAATGTATATCAGAGGACGTTGATTCAAAACAATCTTTACATAGTCAAAAGATTCTTCCAGAAGATCAGAAACATTGCATTACCAAAGAGCTTCAGAATACAGATTCAAAAGCCAATAATGAGCTCGGACCTTCCGACCTAGAGACTGCTCACAGGTCTCTTACAGAGGATCCTGTGCTTGCTGCAGAACAGGAATATCAAGAGCCAGATCTTGGTGGAAGTGTGAAAGACGTGGAAAAAGAGCCATTGTTGGAGAATGTTCCAAGCACCCCTTCAGACAACCTTTCTCAGGGTGGTTACATCGATACTATTGGACCTTTAGAGAATGAAGACTTTTTAAGAAGGATGCATTCCTCTGTCAGGTATGTAAAAGAGTTACAGGAAATAGACAAAATGATTCAATAAAGATTGTTTAAATTTGAGTATTTTGCTTTATTGCAAAAAATCAGTTCTGATCACTACTTAAATTTAAATCAACAAAGAGCGAAAGGTTTTGAAAAATAAGGGTGATTTATATATGGGCGTGGAATTCACCAATACAAGAATAGGGATGAGTTTTAAGAAAATAAGGGTGAGTTTTAAGGGGAATAGAACGGATTGGCAGTATTTTCATTAATTTCAATGTGGAAAATTGATTTGAGATACAAGTCTGTAAACGAATTACCTCACATCTCTAGACATTACTGTATTCAAAATGGTTGCCTTGTTTTTGTAACGTAAAAAATTATAATCAACATCTAAAATTCATGTTATTTAACAGGTCGTTATAATCCACAGTCATGTCTATGGAGAAGACAGTGGTTTCCAGGCCGCCAGCAATCTGGACTTGGTGGAGTTCACAGGTGAAGGCAATGCTCTCCCAGACATAGATAGAGGCTATGCATGGATCATACTAGCATCAGCTGTTGCTGCTTTAGCACTCCTTGGTGCAACGACAATTGCTGCTGGTGAGTCAGAGTAGAGCACAGTCGTTTGTGCCGCTGTAGTGTTCTCTTTTTTTTTATGTGTAGGTTTGATTTTGGGGAACTAGGTGTTTTCAGGACTTTTATCTTGACCATATTCAAAACTATGTGAAGCTATAAAAGTTTAACTGGCTTTTTTTAAATCAAAGGTTGTAAGGTGAGTGAATTTTCTTTTATCATTATCTAATGACCATTTCAGTTTTCTGTTACTCTTCTCTTCCACACTGTACAGATTTTCTTGCTAGAATTTTGTTCACTTTTTCATGACTTTTTTCCACTGAACTTCACTTTTTTCGTGCAATGCCAACTTCAGTGAGAATCATTACATGTGTGTTACTGAAGTCTAAAATTAGTTAAATGAATTTAAATGACTCTTCACCTCTCCATTTCAGTCTAAGATTAACACTATCTACCCACGCAGCGCGCTGAGCGTGCAACACTTATCCCCACGGCCCATGATACAGATGCGGTACATGCTATATCACATTGTCGCCGATTGGTGTCCCGTGAGGGCAAAGTGTTTTAAAGACTTTTATCCCAGCTGTAAACCTCATTAAACAGAATGGAATACCCTTATAACTATTGTGTTCGCACTGAAATTTGTCTCGTGAAAACACTTCTAATACTTATAAAAGTACAGTGAGTGTCATCAACAAACATTTTTCCACAGGTATTCTAATGCCTGCCATTTTAGAACAGATTGATCCTGACATCACCAAGGCTTCGTGGATTGGTTCTGTTCATGTGAGCACCATGTGTATGTCTGGTGAGGAGAGCTTTTGGTTTTTATTCTTTGACTGGACATTTTTTACATTTTTTGGGGGGAGGACTTGTCCCTGAAAAGTGGTTTACCTTTTGTGAAAAAGGTTTCTTTTCCCTGTTTTTCAAAAGAACTTTGAAATCGTTATTTACTTTCTGATAACTGCCTTTTCACAATAAACCATTTCTTGAAAGAATTCAGGAGCATTTCTTAAAGCAAAAATACTACATAGCTGCTAACCAATATGTAAAAAAAGTTACTTAGTTCAATTTTGAAAGCCTAAGTATGTAAGTACGTTTTTCTGTTGGAAATTACGTAATTCTCTGTTTTCGAGTGCTGCTCCTCATGGACTAATTACCCTTGTAGAAAATATTATTATGAACTGTCTAAACAGAATTTGAGAAGAATAATGAGAACAACCCATAAGTCTATTGGAGAGACCTTTACAAAACATTTCTGACTTTATTGTTGCAGGTCTGCTTGGAATAGTTTGATTTTATTGCATGCAGAAAAATGTGTGTAAAAGGTTCAGAGGGGGATTACTTTTTTAATGACTGCCGTCAGGACCCATTGGTGTATGTAAAGTCTGTTGTTCAGTTTTGAAAAGTTGTTAGCTGCGTAACTATAATAAACTTCTTTCTCAATTTGCTGAGCAAATAGCACAAATACTCCCACAGTTTTTTAAATTAATAAGTCAATTGCAGCTAAGGACTAGACAGAAACTTAACGCTGGTGGGATGAGATATGAAGTTTACGTTTTGGATGCAGAAGTGTTTTTACACACGTTTGAAATATTTAGCTCACCTGGTAAATTGCATGAGAAGAAATAATCTGTTATCTTTTGCTGACATTTATGTCCCCTCCTGTCACATTCCTCAGTTACCACTCTTGAGGCCTCTCTGCCTACACTTGATAAGATAAGGTTGTAGAGCTGCACACAATCATGTCATAGCTAATACACATAAAGCAGTCACGGAAGGTTGTTTTTGTACTTCTAAGAATGGGAAAACTGAAATTATTTTATTTTTTTTCTGCAGAGAGATAACTGATGTCTGTAAAAATATTTCTACTACATTTTATTACCACCTGCGAAAGGTTTTGGTAAAATAATTTTTTTTTAGAAAATGAAAAAGTTGTAATTCGTAAAGAGCTGAAGTCCAAGGCAAATTTGTGTCTGTTTGTTTCTAATTCTAAGATAAACTTAAATGTGTTATAGTTATATGTAGTGGTTTAAAGTTGAATAGAGATTCACATGCACTCACGCTCATACATTACAGGTTTGAAATGTAATTTGTAAATTGCTCCACAGCTGCAGTGAGTGTGCGTGCGTGCGAGTGTGTGAATTCAAACCAGGCTGACCAAAATAAATATGTACATTCAAATTGATAATTAATGCTAGATCCGAAGCTAGGCTAATATGTGGCAAGACAAGGTCCTTGTAAACTTATATACTGTTTGTTTACTTTTACCTAATGCCTGTCAGTCCTTGGGCCACCTCAGATGTGTCATGGAGACTTGATTGTGAGTCCTCACAAAGTAAAAGTCTGACGGGCGCCTACCAGCCTTGAGGTCATTGGGCTGATATCTGCCGATGCCAGATATTTTGTCAGCGGGTCGGGGTGGCATGGAAGAGAGATTATGAAGCTGTCAAAGAGTAGGTGCCATGCAGCATATATAGTGTGTAACTCTGGTAACCAGTTTGTTAGTGGTATGGCATGGCAAATTTAGTTTGATGAGGACTGTACAACCCAAATGGTAGTGTAGAGGCATAAATACTATGTTTATATTTATAGTATTTTGTACAGCTGAACCTGGCAGTTAGCGAGACTGGGGGTATAACGGGGTAGTATAATGAGGTTTCTACTTTTTTTTGGTAAGTTCTTTTTATGAACACATAACTAACTGAAACCTTCTCCATTTGAGTTAGATTATACTGATTTTTATTTAAACAGCATGTTTGTTATGTTACTTTTATGGCTACTAAAGGTAGACCTAGGAGCTGAATTAAAAAGTTAATTAAAGTCATATCATTAACATGAGCCGAAAATTATATTTCTCTTTTCTTACAAGGTGTACAGGGCAAATACAGCCAAGACATGCATTTTGATAGATATATATATCAATTTTTTTTCAAACACATCCATTTGAGTATGGATGTTTACTATTTAGTGAGAGGAAAATCCAGGTGTAATAAAGATTTAATATTTTGTTAAAAAGGCTTAAAAATGTGCCACATTATGCAAATAGTGACCCAAATATAAACTTTTACGAGCATAATGTAAGTTATCATAATGATCTATCATATCTTTAACCCCCCCCCCCTCTTTGTTTCCACTGGGTTGAAGTCAATTTGCACCATGTTTCCTTTGATTGAAATCATGCTTTCTTCCCCCCCACCGTCAGGTCCCTTTGTTGGAGTTGTACTGAATCGACTTGGTTCAAGATTGACTGTTTTGATTGCTGGGGTTGTGCTGAGTCTTGGTTTTATTGGGGCGTCCTTTGCACAGAGTGTACTCCAACTCATTCTCACCCATGGTCTTGTATCAGGTAGGTTATTTCGCTTCTGCAGAATTACAAAGTTGTATCTGACATTTTTGGCTGTTTTGAGTTACTAAGACCATGAGGTCAGAAATCAAATGTACTATCTGCTCTATCAAAATTGTTAGATCGGAGCCGTGATCAAGATATATTCAAAGAATTGCATTCGAAAAAGCTTAACCATATTGTGAAACTCAAAAATTTTTACGTCAAATTTCTCAAAACTAGTTATTGAGGAAAAATAGAATAGAACTTTATTTTAATTCTAGGGTGGATTTGTAAGTGAAATCCACTTCTTTACTGTCTCTTAGTTAGTTAAGTGTATTCAGACACATAGCCCTACTAGTGTGGGCTAGCTGTTTAACTGTTTTAAGCTTAGAAAGCAAATTCTTTCTGGACAGAGAAAAAAACTGTTTCAGTCAACATAACAGTTGTATCTGCATATGTATCTGTTCGTACTTTTTTTCACATTTAATAATAATAATAATAATAATATATAACATTTATATAGCGCATTTCCAAAAAAAGTAGCTCAAAGCGCTTTGCATTGGAATACCCATTTTCAAAACCTTTCGTACAACTTCCTTTCTTCTCATGCAATATATATTTATGCACACACACACACACACACACACACACACACACACACACACACACACACACTCACACACACACACACACACACAGACTATTTTCTTTCCACACACACAGACTATTTTCTTTCTGACGTAGGCACAGAACAACTATAATAAAAATAACGCTAGAAGCTTATTTATAATTTGTATTTTGACTAAATATTTCTCAAGCACATGCATCCAGTACCGCACTTTATGAAACTGCAATAAAAACTTTGTCAAAATTTCGGGTATAGTACATCTGAACAGCTGTCCGAGGATACACTTTGCACAAGGAAATGTGCATAAGAATTCCAAAATTTTTCTCTACTTGTATTGGGCAATTTTTATTAAAATTTTTTTTTAAAATTCAACATCTATTATGGTCATTTAAAAATACAGTTCTGTGTGGATTTTACAGAAAAATGTTGATCAAAGGCACAAAATATGTAAATTTGCAGTTCCAATTTAAAGGACATCCAAGCTTTGGAAGTCACCAAACTTTCAGACACCAAGTGACCCGCTCTTCCTTCAATCGCAAATATCTCAACATCTGTTCAAGACAAATAGGGGTTTTTTTTCGTCAAAAGCAAGATCAATGAACAGTCTTTAAGATGATGCCAACAACTCCATAAGCTCAAAAATCAACGAGCGCCTGTTGTCATGAAAAGGCGAGGGAGGAAATGGGAAGCGGCCGTTTGTTCTGGTGATTGTCTTGGATGGGTTAGAGCAGGTTTGACTATATTTCCCCTTTGAAGAACTGAAGTAATTATTATTAATGCTGTCTGACGAAATTCACAAGTGTAGTTTTTTCGTCATTGTTGTTGTTGCTCCTTGTCTTAAGTTTTTTACTTTTATCTGTCTCATTTTCAGGTATTGGTTCAGGCTTTGTGCTAAATACTATGTTTGTTACTGCTGGCCAGCGCTTCAACAGATTTCGAGGACTGGCATGTGGACTGCTCGCAACAGGCACAGGAGTTGGCTTACTTGCAGGTAACTGTATTTTCCTCTTGCTTTACTACTCTGTAGGCTTTTCTGTTCTGTAAGGTTAGAAGGGGAAAGGAAATTTAAGTTAGTTTACTTGGGTATGGTGTCTAGCAGAGATTTTCAGAAAAGTGTCCAGTACTTCTAGATTTTCAGAGTAGTGGTAAGTGCTACTTGTAGGTAGCATATACACGGCCTCGCTTTCGCGGCCTTTCGAGTGCATGGTTTTGGTGAAATCGGAGTAATTCAGATCGCTGTTTCTTTGCTCTTTCGCCACAAAACACCAAATGTTGAACACCTTGTAAAAATTTAGCTTTTCCTCGTTACAATGGTGTAAGTTGTTTATATGTCCGATTTTTAGGAGCTGGAGAATCGCCGTGGAAAGCGAAGCCCCTCGCGGTTGAAATGCATGGTCACAGAATGGTTTCTCATCTCCCTGATGGAGGCAATTATGTGTCGTGGAGGTGTGTCCAATACGTAATTGAGTAAAAATGACTTCGGCCCTAAGGTTTTCGTGGACCCAGTTTGGGCATGATGTTGTGAAGTTTAGTGTTTATTTGTTTCTCCTAGTGTGTCTCCCACAGACTGGAGGTGTAGTTTTTTTAACTTTGTTTTTAAAGTCAGTCTGTGAGAGTGTGTGTGTGTGTGTGTGTGTGTGTGTGTGTGTGTGTGTGTGTTTATGTATGTGTGGGATGAAACACCAGGTTTTTTAAACTTTAATTTGAATGTTGTGTTCCTTTTACTACAGGGGGATCAGCACTATCAACTTTATTGAACAGCTTTGGGCTCCGAGGCACCTATCTCCTCTGGGCAGGGATATTGCTGCATATCTTTGCATGTGGAATGTTCCTGCGGCCCTCAGGAGAGCAAAAGTTACGAACACTGGAGGTCAAAGCTGCCAAAAGTCTCAAGTTTCACCAACTCAGAAGTGAACAAAGTCTCACCAGTGGCCGCCAAAGTATGGCTAGTGGTGTCAACAGTATCCTCAGCTCAGTAGATCGGACTAGTATGTTCAGTGGACGTTCTAGTGTGCATCGAAGGCCTGAATTCCACCGTTTTTCCAGCCGAGCAAACCGATATGATCCTGGTGCTAATCCCTTATTGAGAGATGTTTTGCATCGGGAAACATCTCGATCCAGCCACTCTGTGGCAACATTCCACTCACAGAAATCAAATAAAAAATCCAATGATACCGGCAGTCAACAAGTAGTTGGTAGATTCACGTTTGCACCTGCGGCAGTGGATAGCCAAAGTGCCTTCACCTCTTCTCCAGGCAACACCCCAGTACCCTCGAGCCCCATCGCATCTGACTGTAGTGACAATGACACTTCTCCAACAGAGCCGGGACCTCCCCATGTATCCTCTACTCTGTCAGTTCCACAGCGTATCTCAGATGGAAAAGCTTCCCATACCAACCTAGAAAATGACCCACAGTCTCCAACTAGTGAAAAAGAAACCTCAGAGTTTGGCGGATCGTTCAGGCGTCGACTCATATCTACAAGCTCCCAAACACAGTCCCACTACACTTCAATGAGTCACATCAGTCAGCGATCCACCCTCCGGGACCTTCTCCCCAAAGAATATGACAATGAATCTCTAGCATCCACCCTGGTATCTGCCTTGCAGCCTGTTGATGCTTTGACACCGAGGTACAGACTAGGCCCTCGCAGTGTGTCTACCATCATGGGCAGTATACTGAGTTTTCCTACTGCCCTCACAATTGTGAAAGATGATTTGTCGCAACTTGGGGACTTGACCATAGCTGAGGAGAAGGTATTTTGTAAAGCAATCAAATTTCGTCTAGAAATTACATGTACCTTAAAATCATTAGTTAGTTATAGCAATGTTTAGATTGAACAACGAAATATACAGTCGAGCCCGTTAATCCGAAAACGCCGGTAACCGACAAGAAAATAAAATCTTTTAATTTTATTCCCTTCATCTTGAGCAACCTCTCTTAACTGAAGAAAATCTGGCATTCCCGGAACTTTCGGCTTAGGCACACTGCACTGTACAGTCGGGCATACGCATAGTGAACATGCACACAGTGAGCAAATTTGTACACTACAAAAATATTTCTATGTCCCAATGCTTTCGCTATGTGTTTACTAGACTGTATACAGATGCAAATACTGTGTCCTTGCCGATACGCTATGCTTTTGTCTCATTTGCATATATATATGATGTATATTTAGAGAGATGAAATTAAATTTATCTGTAAAAGCCTGAAAACAGAAATACATGTATTTTGCATGTGACAATGACTATATAACTTTTATTTCACTGTCAAAAGACTCTCAGTAATGTACATGCCTGACTGATAATGGCATAGAAAGTTTATCTCCCCTGAACTTAGAGCTGGAATGAGGTTGAGTGCTGGTGAGAAGGAGAAGGAGGTGATTCTGATTTTAAAGTTCTTGAAGTGATAATCCGTGTAATACAACAGATGTTCAATGAAGGATGTAATCATATAACAATTTTTTTAATGAAAAGACATTACTAGATTGATGCACTTGCACCTAGATCTCTGGCCTTAAAAGTAGATTGCGGTTTTTTAATAATTTATTTGAACTTATAAAACATTTTAGAACCACTCAGATACAAACTCTGTGATGCTTTTTATGTTGAGGATGCAAGTCATTCATTTTTTGTTACAGGCTCATTTCAATTTCATTCTTTGTTTTCCTTTTCAGACAATTGGAGACCATTTAATCAGCTTGCTTGATTCGTTGCGGCTGCTGAAAAATAAGCCTTTTCTCGTGTTTATTGTTACTTGTTTCTTGTGGTCATTTGGGGAATCCCCTATAGCCATCTACCTCCCGTCTTATGCTGTCAGGTAGGTTTCCTCAGGTTATGGATTCACTTAACCCTTTGAGCCCCAGCAGCAGCGCATAAAATTGCCCATTTGCCTAGCCACCAGGACATTGGTGATCGAGATCCAATCCCCAAACCAGCCCACCTGGTACAAAACGAGCATGGAAAACAGTGTTTACTACACAGAATGCTATTGATTATTTTGATGATCTTTCGGAATTAGATGCTGGTAATGACGATGACTATCCTGAGGTGGGATATGAAATATGATTCTGATGATGATATGAATCTGAGTAATATATCGCTCAGGAGCGTAGGAAGAGGGGCACTGTAGCCTCGGGAGGTCAGGGCTCAGAGGGTTAAATGAAGCCTTATTATTTTGAAAATGAGAAAACAATGTGTGTCGCAACGCATTAGAATCAAGCCCTCAACAGTTTTTGGGCAAATAGAGTTATTGGTAAAATGTATTTGAAAATTTGAAATGGAAATACAAGTTGTTGAGCACAAAACAAGAAAATCTATAAATTATATAAAAATTTGCCCAAAGGGTGAACAAATATTGATTTCATTGTTTTGATAAGTGCCTGATTTCACAATGAAGCCATACATTTGTTGATGGCTCTCATATTCTCTAAACTTTGTTGATCAGATTTGTTGACCATGCACTTTTGCTTTAAAACTATACCCTGATGATGATCTTTCTGTTCAAGCACACTTAGAATTAGAACCTTTTTTGCCTCACTGGATGTAGGCCTAGATGAGTCTTAGAAATAAATTATTTGCATTCTGTTAGGCATTGAACACATAATACCACTATTAGATATTGGTCTTTCTTCTTTCCTACTTCATATTCATACAAAAGGCTTTAAAATGTTCTACTACATTAAAGCACTGAAGTTGAGAATTCTTCTAGAGTATATACTAGAATTACTTGAAAGAAGAACACTGGTGAGACTTGATGTAATATGATACGTTCTGTCTTTTCCAGCCAAGGCACCAGTATACTTGAAGCGTCGTCCCTTTACACAGCAATGGGTCTTGGGTCTATGATAGGAAGGTTCTTGTCTGGTCTAATAGCGAGTGACTGTGACATTGGCCCCATCCTTCTCCACACCGGTAAGTTCATATATATAATA